GTAGGCATGTTTAATAGAGGGGGATTTGTTCCTATGATTTCGAGAGGCGTTTGGAAGACACTTGAGTCTTGTGCAGATGGAAACTTTTAGGATGATATGAAATTGATGGGGATTGGTATGAGATGATTAGAATTGATACGAGTAAGAAACGGACTGTATAAATATGAGAAGTTCAACTCAATTACGCAACTACATGTTGGAGAAATTCTCAATCATCAACTTTTGACCAGGCCACATTTACAAGCTACCATACCGTCATATCTGTTCATCCACAATGTTTTGTGCTAAAAATATCACAAAGGTCTAGATGTTGCCGTGGCGACGTATGTAATAAGGTCATAAATTTTCTCTCCGTCAGACCTGCTAGCCAGCATGTAATTTGGATGAATGCCATTTGATTCTCATGGTGAAAATATCTTGAACAATTCTATTGCAATCGATAATTTTGTATCTCCTGTGCTCTGACTTTCTCTAAGATTTTACTCAATCTATGCACCCCCAGATATTCCAACCAACTCTCAACTGCGCGCAACTCGCGCCTTAACCCAACCCTCAAAAACAAACAACGCTCTAATTCAAACTCACACGAGACGTACCCACAGGTGAAAATATTTCGGACCTACTGGCCGTGTTAGTAGAAGCCAAAATGACTTACGCCACACTATCAAACCCTTATTAGACATTCAAAAGAGATCCTCCGTTCATAACTCAATTGTCTCTCGGACTTGGCCCAAACATAAACCCTCAAATTATCCTGTCTGAGGTCTTTGGTCTTCCGCCTTATCCACTTTTCAGCCAGTTGCCGCTTAGCTTATGCTAATTAGGTAGTCCACCGCAGTTTGGCCCAAAAATTGGCCAGACGTAACGTCACTCCTCATTACGTTATGAAACTTTCATAGAGATAATTTGTTAATCGAGTAGATACATGAACTTAAAGATGGTTGGCCAATTTTCGACGAAAACGATGTTGAGCGGACTCCACCTAATCTAGACAGCTTGAGCGCGCTGTTTCCACCCAATACTCTTCCAACCCAGATCAGATATCAATAGCATTCGCAATATTGATAACAGCATAGGTTTTGGATTCAAACGTCAAAAAGCAACACCTTTCCATTGAAATGAGATGTCATATGAGACATGAAGTTGAACTCACTAGTCCAACGCCCATCCTTCGTACGTTCCCATACTTTGGAAACGTGGATTCTTTTTCAGTATCGTCGAAGTATTCCCAAGCCAGGTATCCACTAAATCCCAAGAACGCCACTCCAACACACCTATCTGCCCGTACCGTCCATTTCATTGCCCGTTAGAACCATTTCCCAGTAATTCCACCTAACAACATACTCCTCTTCTGTTTGTTGACATACTTACTAACGTCATCCGCCCACCCCGCACTATTCTCTTGTACTTTATCTAAATTATCTCCCATGATATTAAGTTTCTCCGTCCTCTCATTGAGTTGTCTAGTCATGTAATCACCCCACCCCTCTTGACTCCCACTAGGTCCAGCTCCACCTCCAGCACTCCGAGCTAATCGTTCCTCTTCAGCCGAAGCGGCAAGCATGCGTTTACTAGGTGGACGATCAGGACCACCGATTAAGAGATCGAGGTCAGTGGGAGAGACGTATTGGGTTCCGGATATCCATTGGAGGTTTGAGATCGTGGGACGAGGAGGAATCAATGCTTCGGGATTGAACAATTTATCTTGACTTCTTCCAAGTGGAAGTCCGGTTCCCCAGACATTAACCATTGCTATCTCACTAGGGCCAGTCCAACCAATAATATCCCCAGCGGGTGTGACGACACTATTCGACGAGCGAGTTTTGTCCAGTATGTCAAGTTTCGATGATCCAATTTCTTTGAGTGCTGGAAGCGAGTAAGCGCGAGCTGTTCCATCACCAAAAACTCCGACGAGTGCGAAACCATGAAGTTCGAATTCGGTTACGGCAGCAGAATCACAAAAGACATCATCGAAGGTTTTGTGAGCACCTTTGGCACTGGAGGGTTTGAATATGCGAGCTTCAGTTTGGGTGACTAGAGGATTATTAGTATTATATCATATGGAATAATGAAAGGAATGTCCGAAGGGTCTAGAAGCTACTGACCTCCTCACATAGGAAAGGAGGTTAATAGCAACCACGACTATAGTGAACTTACCAACTACAAGGGCACCGTGTGTTTGCTGTCCATTGCGGAGTGCAGCTACGATAGGACCTGTTGCTGATGCAGGTTTTCCTGTTTCAGCTACAATAGGTGTAATTGAAATTACTTTATCGGAGCAAGAGGTTACTCCTGCTAACTGAGCTGTATATCCACCGTTTTGTTGTGGTAAAATCTTGAATGTGGCGACCTTACCATTGTTTGTTCCCACAAAACAAGCAATGCTAGAGTATTTATCATCATCTAGTGTCATGACTCCAAATTCAATACATACGGGCCACTCCGATTTGGCAGTAGTTTGGCTACTCCCCTTTCTCATGAAACTGCTTCTTTTATCTTGCTTAATGAAGTCACTCATTGCAGTGGTGAAGATGACCGATGGCCCTCGGAGATCGATGATTGAGAAGATTCCACCTTCAGACCCAACTCCCACAAATCCCACATCTGACATACGGATCGCACTTATGGCTCCTTGTGCCATGTCGTAAAGGATGAATGGTTGTAGACCTTCCTTGAGAGATGGCTCTGCACGAATTGAAATATCCGTGATACCTCCTGGCTGCCTCTCGTTTGCCGGTTGCTCGCTACCATAGGCTCTATTGCCACCCCACCTATACACTACGACTTCACCAGCTGCTGTTCCAACACACAGCTCCCCAGTGCTTGAAGCCATATTGACGGCAGAGATATTGACAAATTCAACACCCGCAACAGCCCTGGCCACATCGACTTGTAGCATGACGGAGTTTTCTAATTCATCTCCATGTCCAGCGTCCCAAATTCTGACTGTACCATCACCGTGAGCCGTCTGAATAATATTACGAGCTTCATATCTTCGTAGATGCTTTACTCCCTCAGCCCCTCCTTTCAGAAGTTGAGGACCTATAGCTCGAGCTTCTGTCATGCCTAGCCATCGTCCACGATCAACGGCAGATACAGCCACAAAATTGACGAAAGGATGAACAAATGTAAGAGAAGGGTGGAGTTGGTTGGTTGGTGAAATAGGATGACCACTAGGGAAACTTAATGTAACTAGCTCACCGGATGTCAGAAGTGCTATAACAGCAATAGGATCTTGAGCACCGGCAAAATGTGGAGAAGCACGAGGAATAAGACAGAAATCCGCTATATCCACATCAACAGGAATTGGTAGGAAATTCGAACGTTTTCCATCAAAGTGATCAGTCAGAATTTGCCAAGTGGAAGTCGCATAAACAGGAGTTACTCCCAACTCCATAAATGTCAATCCTTTGTGAGGCATGGTGGTGGGGATTCCACCAGCTATGAGTAGACCAGTATCATCGGGGTTTCCTTTGCAGCACCAAGCTATTTTTGCAAAATCTCCTTTCAACGAGAATGTATCACCGGAACCTTGTGGTTGAGAACCAGGCACATTGACATGTGTATCTTGTAAGGTTCGAGCCATTACAATCCGACCGTCTTTAGGATCCCAAAATACAATGCTTGCATCATCATGCGCTGTAGCAATGAATGTTCCAGTTGGATGCCATAGAGCTTGCGTAAGACGTGGTTGCCTCGGCGTACTCTTTCCCATAGGATCTCCATTCCCACCAGGGGCTCCAGCTGGTACTTCGTATCTAAAGTATTTGATGGGTTTGTTTTGTTTGAAAGAGTATATTACAGCTCCTTCCGTGTATCCTATCAACAGCTGTCCGATATCTCTAGGATGTAGTTGTAAAGACACACAACTTAATAACCTCGATCGTGGGTTCATTTCACGCCAGAAGTTGGGAAGACGTAATGGCGCAAGCTTCTCTCTATCCAAATCGTAGCAGATGATATCTCCAGTTTGTAGTCCGATCAAGCACCAATCCAGCATAGGATCCGTCACAATGGTTGTCACTACTCCTGGCGGAGAGTAAGCCGCCAATTTCTTTGCCGTTGCCAAGTCCCATACTATCACTTCGTTTTTGGAATCCACGCTGATGAGTCTATCGGCGCAAAATTGTAAAGTTTTGACTGATGCTCGGCGGGGTAATGTAAGCTTTACTTGAACTCTCTTCTGACCAAAGATATAAATTTGTCCACTTCCGAATGTCGTCTCGTTCGTTCCCACTGCAAGCAGAGATTGTACTGGATCGAATGCGAGAGAACTAAAGGGGCGAAAAGTTAGTTGAATGCCTTCAATTCAGACGGCGACAGAGTCGGACATACCCTATTTGAGAATTGATGCCGAAACGATCTAGATCATCAGGCGCAAATAGACCTGGCAATATACCAGCAGATAAATCATTTTGTATACCTGCTTGTTTTCCACGTAGAAATGCTGCCATTTTGATCTGACAGATGTGGAATGATAAACGTTGTTGATATTGTGTTTTGGTGTTGGTTATTAGCTACGATAGTGACCAGGAGGGTTAATGCTGTTGGAAGAACCTTGAAATTGCCTTATTGGCGTCATCTGAAGGAACCTACGTGGTATCTCTTGGCTATGAATAATAAAAGAGATATTCAGGGGGTTTTGTTAAACATCATTAGACAAAGACCATCATCACAACCCAAAATATTTATATCTTCACATTGATTGATATGTTATCATTCATCTAAATTCATTATTTCTTATCCGTCCACACAGACGTTCCATAATGTGGGCGCATGCGCTATGAAGTGGTTTTTGACAGCAACAGTACCCTTACAAAAGTTGGTACCTAAGGTCCAAGCCACCAACTGCCTGCTTCAAAGAACAAGTCGAGCGTCCAAATATGTTCTTCAAAAATGTATATATAAAATCTCCATTCAATAATAATTATAGAACTCCATATCTCATATGGTTAATATTGTTTATATCCATCCTCGTACCACCCAAGCGCAAATTACATTCAAGGTCGAGGTTGTCCTTGTTGCCATCCCCAAATCTCCCAATATTCATGCCAGGCACTTCGCATGTTTGCATTCCTGTTCTGCAATCTTAATAGCCCTTCTTTCATTAAAGCAGGAAGTTCCATCTCCAGTTCTTCTCGCCGCACTCCTGCCTTGATCAATTCTTGCGACAAGTCGATTTGTTTCTTGATTTGCGCGACAGGATTGATATAATACGGTGGCGGGAGGATTGCATCAGCGGCTCGTTTTTCAGCTGCTGCTTGATCGCATTCTTTGCAACGCGGCAATGTGCGATCACAATCGAGAGAGGCTCTAATTCGAGGGAACTTGAGAGCAATATATGCAAATGCAGGAGGTAGGACGAGGGGACGGTCGCAGGCTGGACATGCGGACATATTAATTTGTAGATGAGTCTCAAACGAAATGGGGTTGACAATGACTAGACGTGAGTATGATTCATGGATGATTGACAGGTATAGCAAATGGTCATAATTGAAAGATTGATTTGAACCTTCTTGACTGTACAATTCTTACCATCTTTACCTGATGTGAACAAAGAACAAGTTGCAAACGAGACTGGATCTGGCAACCAAGATTCAAAATTCCTCAACTCGCACTGCAAACATTCTTTGTCCATTTTGGTATGGCTGAAAGCAAATGAATGGACGACAACACAAGCCCAACGACTAGATTTAATCGCGCGCAAAGTGCAAAGTATGCTGTTGAATCCAAGACAATGCTATTTAAAATTGGCTCCGAAAACAATAAAGAAAATAACAATGATGGATGTAAATGTCCCGTTTTTTATATTTCTCCATGACCCAACGCATTCTCATGCCATAGGATGGAGGGTAAGTAAACGAAAAGATTCTCTTCTATCCTGCAATTTCCCCTCCAAGATCCCGCCATTGAAAGACAAAAGACCAGAGTGAATATTGAGGAATCAGTTTTAGTTTTATAAAGAGAAGAAGTAGAAGAAATCTCGAAGATTGTAGATTATATTGTACTCGAATTTTTATCATCATGTGATCTAAGCGAGCAATGGCGCCAAACTAGCACTGATCTTAGCTTCTAAATCATCGGGCAGTCGGCTTTTGGTATGATTTTATTCATTTATTATCTCATTGGTCCAGGTCTTCCTCATTTTGAGCTAAAGACTCTTTTAAGTACGGCGGGGTTTATTTTGTATGTGCCCCGCACTAAAATCGATATCTTCTGGATGGATTAAAAGCACAATCAGTCATCATCCTTTTACCTGACATCACAGGATAAAAAGGTTACCTTGAGGTTAGCATTCGATAAAATCTTCAACGCCAGTACACCTCAAATCAAATAATATATTTTCGATTTTCTCGACATTATCTAAAGACAAGATGGCTCCAGGAGGACCAGCAGCCGGACGTGGCAGAGGTGGAAAATTCAAGAAGTTCACTCGTGGAGGTAAGAATATCATGAATGCTAGTGCTACATTGTGAAACATCCTGATTTGAACTTTTCAATAGGTGGTAAACACTTCTCTCGTGATCTTCGACCTCTCGACGCCAATGGAAACGAAATCCGCGAAAAGAATGCCGATGATTCATCCTCAGAAGAAGAAGAGGAATCGGAGGAGGAATCTTCTGAGGAAGAGGAAGAAGAAAAGCAAGAGATGACCCGTGAACAACGTCGCGCCGCCGCCAAAGCAAAGAAAGAAGCCGCTATCAAGAAGAAGAACCAAAAAGTTGCACAAGTTGGTGATCTCCCAACCGATAGCGAAGAAGAGAGTGAGGATGATGACATGCCCGCCAATCCCAATCATAGCAAGGCTGCTAGAAATCAAGCCATGGCACCTCCAAAATCTGTTGATGAAGTTGCCGATGAAGTTGCAAAGATGAGCGTCAGCAAGAAACCTCAAGAGTTGAGTCGCAAGGAAAGAGAGGCAATTGAGGCACAAAAGAAGAGAGAAGCATATCAAAGATTACATCTTGCTGGAAAGACTGATGAAGCTCAAGCCGATCTCGCAAGATTGGCAAAGGTCAGAGAGGAGAGACGCTTGGCAGCAGAACGCAAGGCTGTATGTTCCACTATACCCCCTTTTCTTTGTCTTGAGATCATGCTAATATTATGCAGGCCGAAGAAGAAGAGCGTAAGGAACAGGAGCAGGCAAAGTCAGAGCAATTGGCAAGGGAACAAAAAAGAAGAGAGGCTGCCATGGGACCTGCAGCTAAAGGAAAGAAGGGAAAGAAATGAGGACCTTTCCGAGATGAGATCTAGTCTTTTGCTTTTATGGGTGAATGCTTCTAGAATAAATATCCAGACACATACATAAGTCTCGGGGCGGCGTTGATATTCTTGCTTTTTCTGTATCGTTTGGCTGAAATCAATCTATACAACATTACATCTATCCTCTTTCTATGAGCCTATATCAACTTCGTCGTTACTGTCCTGTACTTGTGCGATCATCATGCTATGCTTGCAGATCTCACATACAAACTTATCATCGAATTCCTCATCAGTGTAATAAATCTATAATCTAAGTCGTTTTCGAATCATAAAATTATCAAAGTAGATAAGAAAGTACCTGTCCAGTTGTGGTGTCCCGAAACTCGAGGTAATGCCGTTATGTCGCCATGCCCCTTTTCGCTTTCTCTTTTCCCAACACCACCTTCCTTTTCATCTTCACTCAACACAACAGAACACTTGATCTTTATGAACTCAAACAATAGCCTCCATCTCATCAAATGAATCGGCATATGATCGAAGGCATGGCGCAGTGGTAGCGTATCTGATTCCAGCTCTTAGACTCTAGATTCCAGATGGTCCTGGGTTCAAATCCCGGTGTCTTCCTTGTTTTGTTTTTTGGGGAGTTTCAGGGGTTTTCTTTTTGGACGAGAATAGCGTCTAGAATCCTGCTTCTTGCCATTCATACTACGAGAGTGAATGGAATGAAGGATCTGAGAAGAATGTTTTGTTTGCTTGGTGGTTGCTTTGAAAACAGGGTGTAAGGATGAGGTAGGTCAAGGTTTACTTGCTTTTTGTCTGATGGAAATGATAGATATAAAGTAAATTGATAGGAAAATGATTGGCCTCCTCTCTTTTTCTTATCTCAATACTACTAAAGTTCTAAAATAGGTCAGTCATATGTACTCAAGTCCGAATCTGCAACAGCATCAAGACTCTCAATACCATGACTGCAATTAACGACGTTTCTCAGTGTACACGAGTTCATTTTTACAGCACGTTGCTTTCAACAAATCATGCTTCTCTTAAAATATAGATGAGACTTGCATGCCAATTCATTGATAAACTACATTTCGCTATTGATCAAACGGGGGTGTTCTTGCATGCTGTACCCATTCACGAATTCATCCGTCCTCCTCTTCTACCTCCAAGATTCAGACCACATTCCCTACTCTTACAATTCATCAAGAATTTGGAGAGGAAACTCCACCCCCATACTTTCGGCTCCAAGGTTGATATCCTTCCACACGAACGCGCTCAAATCACCATTTTCGGTGCCCATTCAATCTCACTTTCTGGGAAATGTGATATCTCAGAGTGCGACAAACGTTCGGTCCTAGCTTCTTGATAGTTGGTTATATCTGGGTACAGAATCAATTATTTTATTCTATTTCATTATTGATCGGACATTTTCATCTAACCTACGCGATCGAAATGAGGTATGGTAGGATGCTTTTTCTTTGTATGCTCCTTCATTTTATCAAGTGGACCAGTTTGATATGAATAGCCCATTGATGAGTAAATACATGGCGTCTTGGGGCAATGAAGAGATTTCTAATGGCGAGCCAAATCTCCTCGACGTGCAAAGGTCGAAGAACAGTTGTAGAAGGAACATCGAATACGGTTGCTATCGTACGTACCGCGAAACTTGGAGCCCCTGGAGGCTCTCTTACAACTTGGGTCCAGGACGGAGGAGGTGAGTATAGACTCGGATCGACATTGGGGAGTGTCTCTTCAAGCAAGTTCCTATGGCAGCTATGTGGTGAAGGATGTAAGCAGTCATCTGAAATCAAGCTGTTCTTGCCGGCTGAGCTTGTCCCAAAATGTTGAACAGAGGATGGAACAAGATCACTCATCGTGAAAATGTGAATGATGGAAAGAAGATAATGGATGATGGTCAATAAATGCAATACATGACAAGACAATGAACATTTGAATGTAAGTCTCCTCACCAGTGGTATGAGTGCTATTTATCTCACTTGGAGCGTTCACTTATATTACGGTGGTCTTCAATCAATGGTTCTTACATCTTACACTCTCCGGTAAAGACGAGGGAATTCAGAGCCGCAGTTCTGGTGGTCCTATACAAATAGTATGCTCGTACCAGTTGAGATATATTGTTGAAAAAGAAGCTACCAGATGTCTGATTGTCGGTCTCTAATTTCGAATACGTATTCAAGACACGTCGCACCGCATTCTATACTCATATGTCGGGCTACAGATTGGCGGTTTTTACTAATGTATTATTCCGAGCTCGACTGCAGTTATTTTGGCGGTCCTGTGTATCGTTTCACTCCCCTGTCATCAGCAATGTTGGGCGTTGAGTTGACCAATCAACGTATCTTTCGAGTAGACCCCAAATGGTTAGTACGAACCAAGGTTACATCAACTGTCCAAGGACGTCCAAAAATTGCATGCTCGAGACACGTCGGCAAACTTCAGAGACTCGAGCTCTGACATAATTCGATTCAATTTTTGTCATTCCTTGGTGCGATTTGATTTCATGCTTTCTCTCACTATCGGTCCTTACCTTTCAGTTTCGTAAAAGATAACCTTATAGGGAATCAAACTCTAGAGAGCAGTCGATTGAATTTGCTCTCATTATATATTTGGTACACGAAATCGTGCATCGGCTTTGAATAGATTCTGGAAGAGATTAAAGCTTAAAACCTGCCCCCAACGAGTTTCAGCAGCGGGGAACATTATCAATTTCCATTCTCTATCGGGTAATACCCTACCGGAAAGAGGACCTTTTTCCTTGACTTCTCTAACTCATTCCAAGCCAATATCTTGCCCTGCATTTAGGTCATTCAGCATGGACTCTTCAGATGACATACAATTACCAGGTAAGCACCCGAGCACAGCTACCTTTGTAGGGTTGTGTCCCCGATCGTATGCTGACGAAACGAATGAAGACATGAATGTTCCTGGCAATCTCGAGTTCTATAGAAAAATTATAGACTTTGAGAACGACATCGGCAAGTATGAATTGATACTCGAAATCTTGATCGTTCACAGCAAAGGGCGATTCAGTCAATTGCTCATAGTAGGAACTTGGACTATGAATATCAACAAGCTTATGGAAGAGTCTTGCGTAATTGTACAACCGATTGGAATATTGAGGCTATGATCGAAAACTCTCCTGCGGAACTTACCCATTACAATGAATCGACCGACTTTGGAAGACTTGTCAACGAACCATCCCACTACAAGACCGATTAATTTGGCTCGTACACTGAGATAAAGCCACCGCATCAGTATTCAGTGTACCCATATCCACTAGAATTACCAACCGAACTGGCCCAGGACAATGTCGCGTCGGAAGGTTTGCCGTTACAACAACCCGAAACTGGCTCACAATCAGATATGCTCGAATATGACATCTATGATAATTCATCAGTTCTCAGTTGACACGAAATTGATCGCAATACACTGTCGGCGAAGAAGTCACTCCGGCTGCGAATCTCGGCACACCCAGGATCTCCTCGGTCAATAGTGGTTATGACCCTATTCAACAGAACATTAAACGCCGAGCATACCTCTGCAAAACTTGTCAAAGGTCCTTTTCTCGGGAGATTTATCTCAGACGCCACAAGAGAATTGCTCATGTAGAAGACAACCGCATCAAGTGCCCAAATTGTGCAGAGTACTTTACTCCACGTGATCTTTTAATACGGCATCGGGAAGAGGCGCATAAAAAGAGATTACTTGGAACAACAGACATCTGCAGACAATCACCGGACATTCCTAAATTACCATCTCACACTTCGTCCACTTGGTTGATAATGACAGTATGAGAGCGTGATTGACCGACGAACCATTTTTGACAAGACCTTTATACACCCTCCAAAACTAGTCGAGTCCGCGGAACTCACGTTCCAACTCTTTTAACTCGTCCACTTTATTATCATCTGTTCCTCCATTCGGACTTACCACCTTAAACTCATCACTTGATAGATTTGAAATGCAAGGAATAATATTTTTTGCGAGTGGAACTAGGTCAATATGTGTTTCCAGTCTTCAGAGCGAACATTGACGTAATCGGATTACGCAAACCTCCAGAAATTCAAGCGTAAGCAGACATAACTCTTTAGCGAGCCAGTCGATGTATGCTACATATGATTCAACATCTAGATGTGCCTCTTCTGGAAGATCTGGTCGCAGTGGACCACTAACTTCTTTTGCACGCATCGGCATGAAAACTATCAAGATGATCAGAGGAGCGTGTTGGTAATACCGAATTCTGGGTAAAAGGTTAGTGTGTAAAATTTTCGAGACAAAAAAATTTCTAAAGCCGATTAGTGTATAGAAGAGAATCCTTGCGATACTTGCCCAAAACGAAACAAAGTTGGCAAAACAGCTTGGACTCAAATTGGCCGTAAGCGAGGCACACCTTCAGAGGAGATGGAGTCTATCGATCTCTGTCCGATATCGTATTTCCAACCAATGCCTTGGGGTATCGATGTTTTTTGTTTTCAATACCGGCGTCATTGGTGTCAAAGCCCAGACTCGCATGAAAGCAAATGTCCAAGATGCTAAACAATCAATGCCACGGTAATCAGACCTTTCACATCGGATCTCAAAAATAAAAATAATTACGTAGAATAAGCCGAAAGAAGACGACAAAAGCATGTAGTCAGTTTCACCGAAGGAGAAGGTACAATTACCAAGTTGGGTTTGACCATTGCTGCTCTTAGGCAAAACATGTCTAGAAAACTTTGGGCGACTTTTTCGCCCCCTATCGTCGACTGGCACTTACTTTCCGAATCAAGCTTCAATGCCATCACTCATTGCCCTTGATCAATGTTCCATGGCAATAGTACGGGAAATTGTAGAAGATTCTCCATACCTTCAAAGTCTACCAACATTTTGCAAATCTTCAGAGAGGCCACTCGATGATCTAGTTATATTGTTGCGGTCTGCTTCGATTTATTAAGCAAAATTAGAACCAGTCAGTAGAAAGCTTCATGGTTTTACTCAAGATAGATCATTGACTTGGCCAGGATCCACATGGATTGATCGCACAATCACTTATATGCCTTCGTGAAGCACTTGAGCTCAAGCGTGTCAAGACATTAGGCGCTTTGCACGAATTTTCCCACTGAGGATGTCACATATTTGAAGACGTAGATCTGCCTAATCTTGTCATAGATAATATTCCCTTTGCAAAGACAAGCCAGGATATGATAAAATTCTATACCCCGTCTACGTGAACGAGGAACCTCCTCAAACTTCTGTAACAACAGGAATGTGGAAAGCTTAATGTCCACAATAAAGCGGTACATTGAGCAACTATCGAAGGATTTCTTCAAGAAGGAGAACTTGCGTGGCAAGACATGGTGGTTATCAGTCTTTTACAGTCTAGTAATACAAACTTTGGTTCGAGCGTTCATGAAAACTATTGTTGGAGACGATGGAGCCGAGATTCCTTAGGTATAAACCAGAATCTTCACCTAGCAGTGCGATTATTTATAGCAACTTCTGGAGCTCATGATCCACTAGCACGCAGCATACCCGTACAGGGTAGTCGACTAAAAGCGTTGGCAGGTTGTGATTCGTGTAAAAGGCGTAAGGTTTGTTTCTTTATCTCCCAGTGATAAATTCAGTCCACTGAGAAATTCGACAGTTAGAATGTACGAGGTGGAAACCGTCCTGCGAAGCTTGTCAAGATTTTCAATGTCCATGTATATATGGTGGAAAATCGGAGATAGATGATTCCGAAATCAAGAACTACAACGTTGCCAGCCTATCGGTACAAGAAGAAAAGTGGCGATCTTATGGATTGAATAGTCCAGGGGACTTCTAACAACTCCTGTTCCAGGATGATGGACAACTTATCACGCATGAAGCTGCTATGAATAATGAACCTCGAAACAACCTGTTCAAAAGATGTTGAATAGGACACTGACCCAACAAGCCAATTGAAAAGGACGACGTTCCAAATATCTCTTTCGGAGGAGTTCAAATTTCAGAAATGGCAATGAAAGATATTATACGGAAAGTGCGGGAAGAAGCAGTAGCCGCGCAAGCTACCACGGCAAGTTTCTCCTTTTCCTTCCAAAGCTATACTTTTTCTCGTTTTCTACATGATAACATCTAGTTCTTGAAACCAAATGAGTCTCCAAGAGGTTCACCGGATCATTTCTATCCAGATGTCCCGGTCCAGTAAGGACATTGTCAGCTCTTCAATTCTTGGTAGCCGTCCTCACATTCGTACCTGTCGAACCATTCAGACAAAGGCTGTGCAAATGTTTAATAATGTGCTTTACAAGAAACAATCCTTGAAAGAAATAACGGCAGGAGTTTTACTTCAGCTAAGATGTTGGTGTGCGTACACCATTGGTAAAGTGATTAAAATAAGGGACTTGTACGATTGTTGTATGCCGGAAACAAGCTATTGGTATATTCCAATCTGTATTATTACGAACGACTTTGACACCATAAACGATAAATGAGTTAAAATTGGTTGAGATATAAGCAATTCAAGACTCGCTCCTCTTTGTCATGGGTCATTCATTCTCTTGAGAATTATGAATGCCGTGTCGAAGCCTGCGCCAGAATCAATTTTCTCCACAGGGTGCACCGCTACAGATTAGCCACCAAGTTAATATCTGGCAGAAGGGATCTTGTATTTCAACGGTGATTTGAAGATCGAACGATGGTATATTTGAGCCATTGGCAACCGAATCGTCGGTTCAAACATAGAAAAGGGGAGACTGAACGGCTTGACAAACCAGACGAACCGGTCTAGTCGAAGGAATTCCGAAATGCATCATTTTCGGGAGACCACGTGCACAGGTCCCAACAAATCTTGGCGGAAATTCTGCGTTGTCATACCGAGTATTTTGATCTTCATAACCCTTGTTGTATCGATAAGAAATTCACCGCCACTTTTGAAGTTAGAGACTGCGATTCCTCAATGGGCTTAAAAAATATCTATGGAGAGATGCATACGAAGAAGTGCCAGCTCACAATCCCGATCCAATGATGTTTGTTGATTTATAGAGGCGGCCATGAAATATGGCATTTAAAAGCGAAAGCCTCGCGGCTCAACTGGGGCGCAGGTGAGTATCCAACGATGGTGAGTGGCAAGGGCTGGGTCTACATCTTGATCGGTCCAGCCATTTCTCTTCCTTTTCTTACATTCTTTTACACAATCACATCCAACAGCCTTTCCAAGAAATGTCGAGTATGAGTACCGAGGAATTATTGAAGAAACTCGACGATCAACATCAAGCTTACCTCGAGACATTCAAACTTGTTCACGATGCTCTGAATAACAGTATTACAAATCCAAATCCTGTTAGTGCGGCACCACAAAGTCCTGGTTCCATCCGAACATTTACAAAACGGCGAAGAAGATCTACCAAAGATGATGGTGAGATTCCCAAAGTACGACCATCAACACTTCACAGCTCTGTTTTATCAGGAGATAGTGACGATAGTGACGATGATGACGATTTATATGTTCAAACACCGCTCGTACCATTTAAATATGACGAAGAACAATTACGACAGCATTTCAGAACTTATAATTTTACAGATGCTGGTCATATAATTCTGGAAAGTGTGATCACCAAAAATGGACGACTCCTAGATCCTGTTTTATTTCCAGATTATCATAGAGCTGATCGATCTCATAATTCCCATTATTCTGTGTTTGATGTTGGAAAAGATGGAGCTCCTTTATCCAGAAGAGATGTAGTGAAACCGGGTACTACTAAAATTGATTCTGCTATATGGCAAGCGGTTAAAGTGAGCGAATGCATCTACCATAAAAAGATCGATCGTTGTATCTAAGTTTTTGAGTGTAGGACTTAAATAGTGATCCCGAATCGCTCCGGCCGGCTGTTGGCAGGATAACGTGAGTCTTTCTATCACTCCTATACTGATTATTCCTAGAGCTAATGTATGTACGCAAAAGAATTGTTCGAGAACCATCTCCTGTCGTACTTGGGGCCTTACATCTCACTTTGAACAAGACTTTTGATGTGGATGAATTATTCAATTATTTAGTCTCCGACGAAGTTACATCTGTATGTGTGTCTGATTTACCACATTTTTTCTCTTGCTTACATCATATGACAGGCCAATATAATGCGGAGACCTTTCTCCGCTGATAGCCGACAACAAAAGTCCTTTGTTTTTAACTTTGAGTACTGGACAATCGTGGGGGAAGAATGTCAACCAATGCCTTGGCAACTGGCTGATAAAACCCCAAGTACCTCAAAGGATCATATCCCTATATCGAGATGTAACTCCGTTGTAGCTCTCTCCTTGTCTGGCGATCCTATCCGAAAGCTAAGAAATCCTGCTAGACGTGCTAGCACAGACTATGGGTATGTTTATGATCCATGGGCAGCATGGCACGTTCTCAACGTTCAATGCTACCCAGACCATCGTCATACTATGGATGTTCATGATTCAACTAAGCATTATGTAAACGGACCGGAAGCTTTTCTTCATACACTGCTCTCGGAATTTAGAGATGCAGAAAAGAGATTTGAGGCAATATACATGAAGATCAGTAAGCTCGTGTCACCGCCAGTAAGTTAGTTCTCAATTTCAAAAATTCATTTCCTACTGATCCATTTCGCAGGCAAATTTTATGTTCGATGGGGAAATTAGAGATAAATTGCTTTTCGAAGATGAAGAATTCACCTACTCCCGTCGCTACTTCTGGGCCTATCAAACACTCGGTCTATTGAAGAATGGACTTAAAGCCATGATGGATAGTTACGAAGATACCTTTACCGATGATGTTTGGGAGGGAAAACATAAGACTCTCTGGCCAATGCTGGACCCAGACTCTCATCGGAATAAATACTGGCAAAAGCGCATGCAAAAACTAAAAATAGATTTCGAAAAGCAAATGGCTAATCTATTCAAACTTTATGAGGAAACTGACGAAAAAATGAAAGAGATTAGAACTTTGAGGGATCAACTTTTCTCGGGTACGAGTGTTTTGGAAAGTAGAAAGAGTGTGGAGATGGCCGCGGTGACTATTTTACAGGGTCATAATATCAAACTATTGACTATGGTTTCGATATTTTTCCTTCCACTCACGTTTGTAACCTCGGTATATGGTATGACAAATATGACCACTGATCATGATTTTACCCCTTTCGCTATAACAATGGCGACTGTCTGTGTTCCTTTCTTCTTTTTAGTCGGAGCATTAAACACTACCAGTGGTATGCAATTTTGGAGAGTAAGGTGGTATAGACTTTTGGGATGGTTTGGACAGCAAGGTATTCACTCATCGTCATCATCATCATCATCTTCTTCAGCGGTCACTAAGACTTCGTCATTGATGGGAGGTATGTACCAAATAATTAAATAACAAAGAGGAAGAGAAAAAAGCTAACATCTTTAAAGACCCCTCACAATCATATCCTAGTACAAGTTCAAGCTCCATAAATATCAACAACGATAAACCTAAACCTCTTCCACACTCATATTCAATCAATACCGCTCAATCTCTTGCGGCTCGAAAAGAGCTTGCCTCGAATACTAGTCATCAATCTCCAATAAAGTCACCTTTTTCGCCATCAACCACGCCGTCTATGAATCCGATTCCAGAGCATCCATTAACAACGCCAATGACTTCTTATACGCCTATACAAAGACCAAAATACACTTCGATATCTTCAATCGATACCATTACAGCAACAACTGGTCCGAGACCTAGCTTGACAAGAAGTGCGAGTTGGTGGGATATGGCTCTGAAGAAGGGAAAAAGGACTGTCAGTTCTAGAGGGGAAGGATTTGGCGGAGTGTGAGATGAAGTGGACTTTTGAATTTCCTGAATCAACCTCGGTCTGCTTTGATTCAGGCGGCCATTTTCTATTGTTTACCTCGAAGTCGAAAACCTTCTAACCTTAATCAAAGTTGGTCTGCCTGAATTTGGAGATTCCGGCTGCTCGATTGAGGATGTTTCTTAAGCATCTTATGTCAAGCCAATACTATTCAAGAGTTGGTTTCTGATGTTATATCAGTTTATTTTTCAAGGAGCAGCATTGAAGGTACATTCGGCTCCTATTGTCCACATGAAACCGGTTGTCTATTCGCCTCAGATATATAGCGATTTAGATAGGAATCCGATAGTGATTCCTGATAACAGATCCGAACGGCAAGCAAATTTCTGTGGGAACTCAATGTTTTATTTGAGAATTCAAGGCAGTGGTGCTGGAATGATGAGTCAAGTCGAAGGGAAAAGCTACTGGCTGGACAGAAATGAGGAAATTGCCACAGAGAATACTAGGGAGGGAGCCAAAGTGGGGGTACAGAGTCTTATCATTGAAACCCAAATCTCACTGGTTCATCGATTTTTTCTGTCTGCTTTTCATTTATTCGCGGATCGTAACATTCACCATCAAAAGAAATCATTCTCTGGTAAGAAAATTCACAAGATCATGCATCACTAGCAATCAACCTTGACCAAGTACATGTTGAAAGCCTTGTATTGCGGAAAGTACACAATTTGCTATGATCCAACCTTCCGTGCCATATCCATGTCTCCGTTCCGCGTACTATCTTCTGTTGACCATAATTTCTTTCTGACGCCCGTGACTACCGGCAAAAAGCTAGTAGCCCATGATGCCTTTGACTGCTAAAACTTAACTAGCCAGTTTCTGAGTTACTTTCTCGTGTTGAACGAGTTCTTCAACGGGAGCTTGACGCTCAACACAACCACCTGTGGTACCAACATATACTGGCAGAGCTGGATTAGATCCAGGTTGATGCCAAATACTCATCATGTATTTGCATTTCTTGCAGGGGCGAATGGCGGAGACAGAACCATATTGAGAGGTGTAACATGATAAACAGTACCAAGTGTTAGCTGCCCCCATTGATGCTTATCGTTACGGAACTTTGTGATTTATCGATATGTGATGTCGTTTCGAAGGGTTTGAAGTTGTTGGACTTTTGGTGCAATGATCGAGATTGTGTTTGTGCTGTAGATGTTCTTCTGTCGAGGTTTGGAATAAACTTAGGAAGATCGTGGTCTATCTCTTAAATACCTGGGTAGTGATACGTTTTGGTTGCCTGGGGATTTACAGCAAGTGTTAATGAGAATGATGGACCATTTTGTAGCATAGAACCGAGCGGTTTTGAGCCATTCAGATCAGGTTGTTGTGCATGAACTACCTTGTTAAGTGTGTAGAATGGCTTCAATCGTCTATTCACAAACAATTACATGAAGATTATGTCTTTCTCTGCAGCTTCCAAAGTTAATTTGAATCCCCACCAAGTGGAATGTGGTTGGGCAAAAAATAGAAATAAAATATTTGATTTTCGCATAACGGTGATTTGCCATGGAACGGAAACGTTCGATATAATGTATACACTCTGAATCACTGAAGTTCCTCCACCACCAACGTACATTGATTACTCCTTGAAGATTGTTAATCAAATACATCTACTAGCCATGGCTCGCGGATATTTAAGGGAAAGAAAGTCCTGGGGTAGAATTGGATAGTTACTCAAAAGGCCCTTACTACAAACCTCTACCAGACGTGCATTTCACATCTCAAAGATCATCACATCCTCAATTCAAACACAAGCACCATTACACAAAAAGCAAATTATACACCAACTGAGAATCCAAGAAGATGATTAGTCCAGTCGGAGATGTCAAAACACCCGATTAAGAAAACAGGATCAACTTTCATTGTCTAGTTTGCGGACTAGATAATGAGAATCGCCCAAATATACAATTGAAGCAGTGCAAGAATTGTCGCACCAGGTGGGAGATGAATATTAAGGGAGAGTGGAAATGTAAAAGACGTACCTTGTTCACACGATAGTATCGTGAGAAGAGTGAATGCGGGTTCTGTGAATATTGAAATGACATGAAGAAGAAATTGGATGGGCGTCAAAGGTTTGAAATCGAGAAGGCTCTATCTCGTTGGTGATTGCCTGATTTCACAGGAGATGCTACAGGATTTTCATAGATTCGAGCTAAATTTTGGGCCATGGAGGAGACTTAGAGAACAATCTCTTCAAATTTCTCCCGGAGACAATTTGATACCTATCAATACCAAATTTAGAAAGCTATGATTCAAACTTGCACATGTGACAAGATTGTGTAGCGAGATTGATTAGAGTAACTCGGTGTTTTCTGCGCCATTCAAAAACATAGTATTATTTGTACAATCTCTCTGCCGTATAATTCACTACTTCGACCTCCGCAGAGTCATGGAACTGTTTTGATTCATAAACTCTCAGAGTCACGGAATAATTAAGATAATAAAGTTTAAGAGTAAATCTATTTCAAACACTTCCTCAGCAATCACAACAAATTCAAAGAAATCTACTTTAAGTCTTTTACTCATTCTACCAACCACGAGCCACCTCGATTCAACGTATACACATCACTACGCCCCCCAAAAAAGTATACACCTTCCGTTCAAAATGCCCCTCTTCAAATCCAAATCCGAACCCAAATCAGCACCACAAGCTCCCGCGATCATGACTTGGCAATGTTCATGCGGAACTTTCAATAGATCATACCCAGGTACCGCTACTAGAAAGTGTAGGAAGGATACTTGCGGGATGTACCGAGTATACAAGAATGGAGATTGGGAAGAGAATTATCATGGAGGCAAGAGATCTTATTATGAGCCATGGCAAAAAGACCCCAACGTTGATTGAAGACTGAAGATAATTCACAATGGATGATAACCTGTCTTTGTAGTCGCTATGGTTGAGCTTTCTATGAGATGCTAGGCTGTTCATCAGCTCAAGGATTGTTTTTGGGAATGACTTTGTTTGACGACGTCCATATTCTTTGCAGGATCAACGAATTTTAATGGATGGAAAGTTGGTCTATCTATCTTCACATGATATTTTTGATGAATGAAATGGTTGATACACTATATACACTATTGAGCTTGACTTGTAATTACAGTGACGAAAATAAAATTATTTGCGATCCAAACAAATTTTAATGATGTAATGTACACTGGAAACTTCGGTACCCTGTGGTGGCAGAATCCGTGGTTGACGAAGTGATCCTTTTATAATTGCTATAAATTCTATAATACCTTTATTATGTATTGAATAAATTGTTTTTAAAGTATTAATATGATTAATCTAAATCTCTATATCTTATAAGGTTTATTCTAATTAATAAGGTTTTAATGAAATTCTTGAATTTAGAAAGCTTTTAAATTTTAGTTTAAGATAATAATTTTCAGATCAAAATATTTATATATATTCAAATTAGATTGTTTTCTTGCTTATTTAGTATATTCTGTATTATATAGTATATTAATAAAACTTTTAATTAAAGAATAACTTGAAAATGAATAATAAATAATGGGGATACTCCCTTTTAAATTTTCGACTAATACTTTTTATTTATTTTTTAGTTTCTATGCTTATTCCTCTTTTCTTCTTTTTAGTTTTAATTTACCTTTTTAATTTCTTTTTAGTTTGTACACTTGCTTTCTTTTGTTCATTTTATTTATAACTTTAATATTCGAAGATCTCGAAATTCCTAAAGCCTTTTAGGACCCTTATTTTCTTTTTTTCTATTAAAATTCAATAATAAACGAATTACAAAAAAAACCAATTTGATTTATTAATAATAAAAAGCTTTATTCGTTATTGATGAATATATATATCAATATTGTAATGTACGAAATAGAAATTTGTATGGGGATTTATATTGAATTTATCTTCATCCAGAATATTAAGTTTGCCACCACAGGGGGTAGTTTCGCTTTGCTTCGAACATTTATTCCTCTATCTCTCAACTATTAGTAGATGTACAGACTCATGAGACAGCGTAATAATAAAGCACAATTTCACACTTAAATTAATCAACTTCAAAATTGAATTGAAATTGGAGATCTGATTTAATATCATTCAAATTGAAACATTGTATTTTTCAAATATTAAAAAAATATTATATATAAAATTTATTAGAATTCTTTTCAAATTTGAGCTCCAAAACTCAATAGTACACTTTCTCGTTAAATATTTTGATAGGAAATTATATAATTAATGCGTGAAAACTTGATTTTCATTCCTTTATTCAACTTTTATATTATGTAGAATCCTTATACTTAGAAATCTTTGAATTTGATTTTAAAAGAAATTGATTGGATTTCTGAATTTTGATTGAATAATCAAAGTCGTTGTTTTTGGTGTAGAATTATACTTTCTGTATGAACGTTGATCATACAGTGAGTAGTTTCAATTCATTAGCTACTGTATTACAAGCCCTAAGCGAAAGCGAAAGAGACTAGCTCTTTTAGTAGGTCTATATAAGACCTATTATTTCCTGTATATAGCTAGCTCTTTAGATAGAATACAATATAGACATTTAGGACCTACATTCGTAGGTACTACGTCTTCTGTATCCTTCTCAAACCAATACTTTCTTTTCGAGTGTCACGTGAGTCTGTAAAACTACTAATGGACTAAACTTACAGAGTATGTTCTCAATTAAAACAATTACGCGAATCGAATTGATTTTCTGAACGAAAATTAGAATGATTTAAATTAAATATCTCAATTCGGATTATTCAAATCTATTCAAACGTGTGGATATTTGATTATATAATTAATATTAAAATAATATCTACTTCTGTTATAATTAATTATTGTCATGCCTAGACCCCTGTCTAGTGAATGACGAATAGATAGTCACGTGATCAACCTCTATATAGAGGTTGATTTATTAGGGAGACCTTTCTTCCTTAGTTCTTTTATCTAATTGTTGAACTTTGAAGCTATTCTTATAGTCTTTAATTAACATTCAATAATTATTTAATAATTAAGACATTATTTTATATATAGATATGTGAAGAATATCACGTGACAAAGTGATGACTCATCACAACCTTAGTTCAAGACTAGTTTGAACTAAGGCGATTGTTATTATATAAGAGATAAAGAGATCCCTTAAGGATATCTTTCCTCTTTAGCTTTCTTATTCTAGTTATTTGATCTCCATAATATACTCTAGTATGTGATTATATTGTATATTAAATTGAGTAAATAAGAATTGAGGTGAAAGTAGCCTATACAATAATAAAGCCTATATGTATATAAAACACGTTATTCTATATTATATAATTTCTAATATTTCTCTTTATAATAAAAATCTACTATTTAATTATATGAACTCTATGTAAATATCTTTAAAACACCTTATTAACTTTTATGATAATATCAATATTCTAGAGTTGCTCATAGTTTCTACTTCTTCAATGAAGTTTGATAACTCTATAATCTATTATTATAGTTCTATCAAAATGGTTGTTGAATAACTACTACAAGTGCACCGTTGTAGTAGACCATGAATATAGATGCCCGCATTTTGGGCAAACGTACAATAATTCACATCGGCCGGAATCCAGTATGTCATATCAAAGAGATGTCCGCAAAAGCGTGTTCTTTTGACAAGTTGACACATGGTGTATCAAGTATACGAGTCGAAAAAGATAGAGGTAAAGATTTGGAGTAGGAGAGATTAAGGATTGTGATAGAAATGCAAAGGCTTTGAGTCCTTTAAGTAAGGGAAAATTTGAGAGGAAAGTGGTAGACCATACAGTGGCAAAGACATTCAAGTTATTGATCAACTTCAAAATATCAAAACACTGGATATTCAGCAGCTTATTATAAGATGTCTTCTAATTCCTAGTCCAACCTACCTCTCCGTTTAAACAGGGTTTCTCACTATGAGACCAATTGCAAAAAACGAGGGGAAGGGAGTGAAAATTGATATAAAGAATCAGATCCAGCCGAGGTATTCCTACCCTGTTCTTCTCAGAACGAAATACTTGGCACAATTTTGTCCACCATTTTCTGAATACTTTTGCTGTCGTTCGATACTGCAACTTGAAAGAACGAGATACCCAGGCGGGGGTTTGAAGGTTGTGAAACCCACGGAGCTGAGAGCTGTCTTTAGGAATTTGAAAACAGAGATGACTCTATTCACCTACTATCGTTACCAGAATTGGGCAAAGAATGGTATGATCCATTAACAGTATGCCTGCGTCGATGAGCTATATCCTACCATCAAACTTCATTATTCCCTTCTACAACACCCTCATTGTCCCCTGCCACTCATTCCCACTACCCCTCATCTCAAGATAGAATCCAGTCTCCAAGCGGGCCATAATTTATCCACGACCCGGGCGAGATCAAGCAAGAACGGACATCAAGCAAAAAAAGATATCGCCTGCATTTCGCCGTTCACAGTGATTCCACGTTATTATTTAATAAGATTTGGTAATACAGATGAATATCAAACAAGAAATTCAGGCCTACCAAGTAAATATGATATCCCTACTGACTAAAAAAAGGAGAGAAAAGCCTCATTCCACGGTATCGCGACTACTATTCACCAATCCGATTCTTAGCGTACCTAAGGCTCAAAGAAGTGGTTATTAGTATCTCACTTGAGCTTCCATCCCTCTTTCTCTTTCCTATGCAGCAGCACAATAAGAAGTTTCAAAAATCCACCATGGGCTTTCGCTCGTTTGAGCTCATTCATCTCCGCCTCAATTATTAATCCCCAATTCTCATACTTTGATTTCATCTCCCCCTCTACCCTCCTATGGACAAATACCAAGTACCAGCTCAGAATTTACAACTCCCCTCTCGCCCACTTGAACGGAATAGTCAAGCTCAAGCCTCCATTCTCATCCTTTCCTTTCCTTCTCTCTCGGCACACACTATACATCCCCTCTAAACCAGCCTGTCACCAGAGCAAGAGCCTCAAGCCCTAAGTATACCGCACCCAATAACACAATCGTAAAAATACGTAAGTAATCAGTCTTCTGTTGAGTGCAAGTTCTTTAAATATCAACCCCCACCCAAACCCCCGCTCCCATAAACAAACCCAAACACTAACAGGCAAGGAAACCGAACTAGAAAAGCCCGGTGTATATGCTAAACCATATCTATACAGAAAAACATACCTCCTCTCCCAAATTAATCACTAATTCCCTTGATACTCGTTTAATTACCCGCTTCCAAAATAACCAACAGCACTTCTCATAAAACGACAACAATACTTGTATAACTCAGACGGGACCTTCTTGATTTCCATACAATCCCATAAACACCACCACTCAGCAGCCCCCTAACCCTCTGGCCTATCAATCTTTACCCTGATTTTGATTTTGCTTACCAATTACTTCATTTCCTCCTCTTTTCTATTTAAGTGTTATTCTAAATTCCCAACTCTCACAGACAACCTCGAACATTGACCGGCAAGGAGACCGATTTGGAGGGGGTGTGCTTGCTGTGCTTCCTGTATTGCGGTAGTAGAGAAAGTATATCTCCTTTCCGGAATCATCGCTCTAAGTTTAGCACCCCACTTTTCGGCCACCCCTCTTTTCGGCCACCTTATAAAATATATATATACAATTTTTAAACTTCAATAATTCAATAATTATTTAATTATAATATAATCTTTTGTAATATTAGTTTTATATATATTATTGGAGTTTATCTTATCAATTTTATGATTACTGGCTTTAATTTAAATTTGATATATAATCTTAATTTTAGAAAACTTTGAATTTGGGTTAGTATTAATTTTTCTCTTTTTTTAGATATAATATATTCTAATTTGTGTTCTAATTTTTTTGTTTGATGTTTAGATTTTATAATTTTATAGTTTTTAGTATCAA